CGTGGGCATTACGGCTGCATAATGACCGCTCAGATCTCGCTCTTAGCCAATCAGAGCGCGCGTTATATCGGCCACAAGCCAAAGCCATATAATAATGTATATTAACGACCTGTCAAGTGCTTACATTTTGCACAACCTGGAATGTATGTAGAGTATGCCCCCTGGATGGGACGGTAGTCGACATAAATTTCGTCGGTAGCCATTTGTATACACCTGGGTGGAGAGAGGCACTGTGAAAGTAAAGTGACTTGCCCAAGAACACAACACAATGTCCCCGGCAAGGGCTCGAACCCGGACCGTTCAATGCCGGGCGAGTGGAGCGAACTTGACAATCAGTCAGTCAAGTGGAACAAATATGTACAAAACAATTGAATTCCATTATTTTTGTGAAGAGTCAAACATATAACAAAATACTACTGCTCAAATAACGTCTTGTTCTTGGGCCATCGTAGCTTGATCAATGATATCCTTAATCTGCTGCTCAAAGTTGTTTGCAGCCCCCTCAAACCCTGCCCTGGATCCAACTGTGCGTACCATGCTCTGTACGGGTCGAGCTTTCTCGTCTACCAAGACTTAAGCTTACTGGGTTCTTTCCTGGAGTTTTGCGCCATTGCCTAAATTTTCAGGCGAAGCAAAAAATGCCTGCTGAAATTGGTACTGACCATTCTCTGAGACATATCACAAGTGCGCCAGGCAACCAGCTGAGGCCGGGACTCATTTCCGTTCATTCTCATTCTCTTTTCAGAGACTTAGATAGTGATAGCCAAGCTGCAAGCAAGCATGTCTTCCAAGGAGAAAGATGTATCTAAATTGCGACTTGTTTTGGTGCAAGATGATAGTTATGCTAACCCGGGAGATTACTCTCGCACTGACGTCAAAGTTCGAGATAAGAACATTTGGGTCTGTGAAAGCAACTCTCGACTGATGTTCTATGCAGGCGGAAGCTGGGTCATTACTGCTACTCAGTACATGCAAGAAGTTCTCGATGGAAGTACTGGAGGGTTTGTATCCTCAAAAGATGCTGACTTCCCTTACGAAGCCGACTGGGGCCCAAACTATAACGTCAGCGAAGTGTACCTATCAGCAGAAGGTAGATGGGTGCCTGCACCGGAGATGCCTGATAGGTATAGGTCTCCCTCTGTGCATATTTGGTGGTCAGCCCCTGCTAATTCTGAAGTACAGCGGGAGGGGATTACCTGGTTTTACAACGAGATCGCAGTGACGGAGACAGCAACTAGTACTTACTACATGACTAATGGTTTCACCGGAGGCTATATGGGCATTCAAGATCGCTACCCTAAGTGGGTTCTCTTTTCAATATGGGACAAGACGTCGACGGACGACAATCCAAATGCATCGCCCGATGACTTGGTGAAAGTACTTGCTAAAGGTGAAGGAGTGACAGTTCAACGCTTTGGTGGCGAAGGTACAGGAGGCCAAAGTTACTTTGCCTACGACTGGAAGGTGGGTCACAAGTACCAACTCATGGTCAACGTCCAACCGGACGCCCAAGAAAGCGACAAGGCCGTCTTTACCGGATGGTTCCGCATCCCAGAGCTGAATGTCTGGCGATTGTTGGCCTCGTTCCAGGTACGTCCGAAGGCAGCGAGTAAAAAGCTGGAAGGTATTTACTCTTTTCTCGAGGATTGGAGCGGAAATGGGCATCGACGCCAAGGCTTGTGGGGCCCGGCTTGGATTAAAACTGATGGTGGTCCTTGGGTACAAGCAACGCGGGGAAGTGGCTCAACCACAGAGCCAGATGCAAACAACAGGAACGTCTTCTTGTCTCCAGATTGCAGGCAACTTGGAATGACCACTGGTGGACCAGCACTGGCCGATACGTCCCTCGGCCCGTATACGTGCGGTGCATCTAGCATTCCATCGGTGCTGACCTTGAATCCTCTGCCCGATGGTGATGGAGCGCCTGCGCGTGAGTGATCATGCGCTTACGAGCATAATCTACAACTTAAGGAGTACTGAAAGTGAAGTATGNCATATCTTCCCGTGAGTGAAATGATGTGAAGTATATATGAAATAATTCATATTTGAACTGCGGTAGTAGATGAAAGTGAAGTATGATCATCGCAGTACTGAGGAGTACTGAACGAAGAATTATCCTGTTTACTACGCTGATTAACGTTCCACTGTTTTCATATATATATTTTTCTCAAATTCAAACTTAGAAGTTGAAAAATAAACCACTAAATCGATCCGCTGGTGTAGTCGACCAAAATAATCAACATTACCATATAGCTAGGCAATTAAGTGGAAGGAACTTTGAAACCTACGGTTTTATCCCAGTATAACGTTTCTGTTAGTCCAGCAACGTATTTGAAAATACGTACTCGCGTGTATTCCAGGTTTTTTTTAATCATTTCATTTGTTTAAGAATGTTTACAGCATCAAGTCCTTATAAGAAATGAACAGCATTACTAATCTCTTTATGGCAAGGACTAACTAGGTTTAAGTCCTTAAATTTAGTACATACGAACTCATGGCTAGACCAACTAATAAAGTGTTGTTACACACAAGAACTGAAGTAAAATACTGAAGACATCATTTAAATTATTATGTTATAATAAAGGTACAACGAGTAAGACTATTCTATCTGTAACCAAACGTCCAAAAATTCTCTTGCCACCGTTTACAGTAATACTCTATTAAATATTTTTAATTAAAAGGTCATCCGCCCTTGCAATAGAGCGTTTTCACTCACAAGGCCAGCAGCCAGGTAAGTTAATCTGAACAAAAGTGTGTTTACATAAAAGCGTTCGACTCCCACAGGACTGGTTCGGCACACCAACATGGCCGCCGTTTCATTGTTTTGGAACACCATTATGGCTGCCGTGACATCATGTGAAAACACTCTATGGGCCTTTTCTGAATCGCCTTTTGTCTGTTTTAAAATCAGTCTTCGTAAGAAAATATTTAACTGAAAATGAGTTTGATCTGCTCAAAAAATGTACGTGCAGGTGAAACAGATTTTGATCTGAATAGTTTCGCCGGCACGAGTACCTGTTTTGACACAGATACAAAACGGAACCTAGCCTGCAATGCAGCCGGACGTGCCACAAAATCCCCGGTACAGTCCACACCGGCGATTTAGACTGTTTGCGATGCAGGCTGAACGGAACCCGGGAATAAGCTTGTTCTCTACGGATAACTTTAACACCTTCATAACATAGAACTCGCTTTAATATAAAGATTCGCTTGGTCCCATAAAATACACCATTCATCATTCATCAGTAGAAACTCCAACTGACTCTATATTACGGACATCTTCATAATATGGGTATCTCCATATTACGGGCGATGCACTTGGTCCCCCGAAAAAAAAACAACTAGAGTTAATAATTAATCTCTACAAGTACCTTAGCTCCGCCCGTTTGCTCAATCTGAATGGCAAAGGCCCACTGCATAACATCATATTTCTAGCTAACTGGAACTTAGTTTAATTTACTGGATATATGATAACATCCATGACCAACCATTATTCTTTTTGGTTTTCAGCACTACAACTAAAATAATGTACTTCCCAATGCAACAGGAGCTGACATTAGCCTTCCGTGTGAAATGCTATCTACCTAAAACGAAACCTTAAACGGTGAATAAATAAACGATGTCCTTGGGAGGGTCTCAAACTACGAAATGTAAAGGTAAAGGTGTAGGAAAATATTCTACACCATTCTTGAATAATGATACGGCCGGCCAGTAGCAGACCCAGGCCTCTCGCCTCTTTGAACTCCAACGTCAGGAGGGCCTACATCGAAAGGAACAGAGTTAAAAGTCAGTCGGCTGAGTGACTCCACAGAGTTGTTTTACAACTGCTGTTGCAACGCGAATGGAGCTAGAAGAATGTCTCATCACTCATCAAAACAAATCATTCTCTCTTGTTTGTTGAACGCGCGCGCCATTTCATTACTATTATCGTCGGGGAGTAGAGAGGGGTGAACGGACGGAGATTTTTGATATGAAACTAAATAAGAAAAAGAAAACATTTTCCGCGCTTCTATCGAGTTATAGAAGTTTGGGAGAGCGAGAAATGCTGTGGGAACACGAGCCAATAGGCAAGTGTTTCCACAGCTTTTTCAAGTTCTCCCAAACGTTCGCGAGTGTTTCTATTTAACAAAATGATTGTGAGCTAGGTAGCGAGGGCGCACACCGAATCAACTATCAAGCATAAAAATCAAGAGCGAATAATCTAATTGTTTTAGTATAACGGCTACTAGTGGTCGCTCAGAAGTTAAAGAACAATCCTCTTCAAAGACACTTAAAAACGCAAAGAAAGCGGCCGCCATTTTGTTAAAAAGCGCGCACTGCAAGGCTACTCACTACAACAGGGTAGATATTAATGAGTAACGTAGCCAATCAGAGAACGGAATTCCTGGTAGAACGCTGTAGATTTAACTAAAACTCGATTTAAAAAAAACAAAAAACACAAAAACACAAAAACACAAAAAACAAAACAAAA